TGGTGCCCAGCAACAGGACAAGAGGCAACGGGCAGAAACTGAACCACAGGAAGTTCCATCTGAACACGAAGAAAAACTTCTTGGCTGTGAGGGTGACAGAGCACTGGAACAGGATGCCCAGAGAGGTGGTGGAGTCCCCTTCTCTGGAGATATTCAAAAGCCGTTTGGACACAATTGTGGGTAATGTGCTCTAGAGGACCCTGCTTGAGCAGGGAGGTTGGAGTAGATATGTGGATAGTGTCTATGAGGATCCTGGCCTGCTAAGGCTTTTGGCAAATGCACAAGCAATATTTGTGTGAGGGTGCATGATGGTGGAAATTCCTTTATGTACAGAACACTTGCAATTGGGAAGCAACATGTAAATACAGTAAAGCCAGCTATTGCAAGTCATGTGCTGGTCACACTGGGTGTTCCTGTTCATATCAGTAGATTTGCATCAATTTTTAGCAGCCAATGGACTAGCCCCTGTTTGCTGTTGACAGGGAATGTGTCAAAGAACTGGTAGCTGGCATGGCATGGAGCCTGTCCTGCTACCCATGGAGCGATAAGAACACGTGTTCGGATTTTCTGTCCACAGCACATGTTCCTGTTACAGGCAGGTGCTTGGGAACTGTCCTTTTCCCCTCTGTAGTTTGTCTCCATAGAGTCCAAATGTATTATGTAATATGTATAATCTGTTCCAAGGGGGTACAGATACATGGGAAATAGTCCTCTTTGCACTGGCCAAAGAACACCTTTCTGCAAGAGATTAGTGACAGCAAGGCCCCTACCAAGAAACTTATGGCCTGCAATTAAGTATTTCCCTGGGAGAGAGGGGGATTGTCATAGCTCTAGGATTATAACTGCACCCTCGATGCTTTGAGGGTCTCCTTCAGGGCTCTTGTGTCAGGCTTCTAGCCAATACTAGCCTTCATGGATGGAGCCCCAAGGCTGTGGGGTAACTGTTGTCTGCAGGTTGTTCATGCATAACAGTGGGCAGGATCCAAGTTCACACCTTCACTTACTTTGGCTTATTTGTGTGCTTTTATTCTTAGCCTGTAAAGCAAAAGCAGGGCAGTCAGAAATTTCCATAGCTGGACAAACTGTCTTATTGACCCTCAGCAAGTGGAAAAGTGAAGGCTCCTCCAGTGTCTGCCACTGGCAAGTTGAAAGGGGCATAGCCAGTCTCAGTCATTACTACCCTTTGCCTTCCAAGAAGGCACTGGGGAATACTGTCTTAGGTAGTTGGTACTAAGGCATTGTAATTAATCCTGAGGGGAATAGATTTAAGGAACTACAATTGTATTTCTCATTTCCCTTCTTGAGACTACCCTTCTAGAAATGACTTTCTAGTAATGCCTGGAGGTATGGATGGATTTTCTTCTAAACAGTGTTAAGCTATTTTCCTTAGTAAGCTTTTCTACTTGCATGCTTTCACACTGCACTCGAAAATCAGGCATGTGACTGTATTTTTTCACAGCAGATATTAAAAAGAAGTTGGTGTTTCCATCAGCTAAAATAATTAATTGTAGTAAACTTCAGCAAGGTAGTCAAAGGAGAAAGGCAGAGGAAGAAAACACCTATACTATTACTGTTGAATAAGCTGAACACACTCAAATGATTTGTCTGGGCTTGTTAAGTTGCATAGCTTTCATTATAATTGCTTTTTATGTTGTCTAAATATAGGATATTTTTCATAAAAGCTACTTTAATGGACTTTGTACGAGGCACAGTATAGTGCCTGAAGTCTACTGTCTAAACATGCTTTCTAGTCTAGGTTTTCTGTACAAACAGCTTTCATGAGGCTGTTTGTCATTGGACTTTGAACCAAATAAGATTATTGCAGGAAATTCTACCCCAGTATGGGGGGCTACAGAACTACTTACATGGTATTTTTTTGCAATAAGTTGGACTCTCAGGCAGGGGTTTGCCTTTTTTGTTATATACCACTCATCTCCTGGAAAATATGCTTCCTTGTGCATTTGCACTAATGGATTGAGCTGCACAAGGCACTAGGGTGAGGTGAGGCTTTCAAAGGGCTCTCTTCTGCTTTATTTCATCCCATTCTTCTAGTAAACATGTCCATGGGAGAAATGTCATGTGAGTGTGATACCATAATGAATCTGTCCGTCTGGCAGGTTTGTATAACACCTGTTATTTTAAAAGCAAATGATTTCCAGATCAATAATTAGCTTTGCAACCATGTTCTTTACAGACACAGTAAATTTTTCTGCTTTCTACAAGACCACTCAGTGACTACTTGAAAAGAAAAGCAGTTATTTGCTGTTTGTGCAAATTTATTTAACTCTGGATCCCAGTACAAACCAAATCAAAAAATTATCTGTGGTAAAGCTTGTTTTCAAATGTGTGTATAATATGACAAGCCACCTAGTGACAGAGGTGAGACAGATGTGGAACGGTTAGAGCTATGAAAGAGTGTGAGAAGAATTCTTTCCTCCTGAAGCCATGTTGCTTTGCTGCTTTCCTCTAACTGAGAGGCCCAGAACCCATTCATCTTCTAGGGGAGAAGCGGAAGAGGAGAAACACATGAGATGGTCTTAACCAACTCCATTGTAGACTTTGCAGCTTATGTCCGGATTGGTCTTTTTCACCACTCGGATGGAGCAGCTTTTCTTGTGGAACAGACCAACACAGTTCACTTTGTCATACTTCTTGGGGATTGAAACTCTGTCATGGAGAAAGGCAAAAAGAAAATCAGGAGCCAAGACATGGATTAGGAAAAGGATGCTTACTGGGCCACAGCTATCCTGGGGCACGCTACATCATGGATTGATTTGACTCACAGTTTCCATTAATTACAAGTGCTATGGACTATCGTAAGAGGAATATAGAGCTCTGGTGATGATTGTTAACAGGTAAAGTGGTTCCCCAATATGCAGTTCTTACCAGTCATTCTGTTAGAGACTGGCATAAATTCCCGCATAGAGACAAAATGGAGACCACCTTGGGCTTCCCCATTTTGACTAAGGCTATCTTGAGAAGAACAAACCATTTCAAGAGTGCTGAATTGCCCCTATGGGAATACCTGCTGGCTGAGCCTCTTTTCAGTACAGGCAAGCTGCCTCCCTCTTTCTGCTAGGGAAGGCCAGGAATATTTCTCACCAAGGGTTCCCTATGTTGTATCCTTCCTAACTGATCTTTTACGGGTCCCTTCCTCCTTTACCTCAAGAAGAATTTTCCAGCCCTCAGGGGAGATAATCCATTCACACCAGCATATTCTGGAAGGCACAGCTCTCCTCCATGTGTCACCTCCCATCCATGAGGCAGGAATTTGCAAGAAGAATTAGAAACGCAAATTCTCAGAATATGGCCCGTGTGTCCTGTTTTGTGAAGTGGGAAGGGTGGGCTTTTGTCAGTGGTGAACAGTACTGGCCTGATCACATGCTTGCAGGCAGACCCCTGTCCTAGTGCAGAGCGCAGAAGCCCACATGTATGTGTTTCAGGATGTTTAGGGGTCCAGAGACAAGCTGCTAATTAGGAGGAGGAAGAAAACTAAGGCTAAAGGGAATCATAGACCCAGTTAGTGTCAAAAATAAAAGAAAGGCTGATGAGGAAGAGCTGTGTGCTTGAAAGACCTTGGCTGTATTTCATTTTGTTTCACCGCAAAGAAGTCTAGGGACTGAGTAGATCATTTTGTTTGGACATGATTGGAACTGACTGGGAAACAGGAAGACAAATTTTTCTCAAGTGTGTATGAAGTTGCAATGCACGCTTTTGTTGAGGCTTTTTAAGTCTGAACATCTCAATTTGTTTCTGAATAAACAAACACAAATCTGGGGAAACTTACAGGCTGCAGCAGATCATTGCAGTCATCTTACACCTACATTGGTAGCAATGTTCAGTCTTCCATGCAGCACCAAAGACATACAGGTTTCCATTTGAAAGGCATCCTACATGCACACATCAGAGAACAATAGCCAGTAGATCAATATGAACATGTACAAACAGACATAGACCACAGTCTTAGTTTGTGGACTGGTAATCAAAGCACTGATTTCCATAGAGTTACAGCAGGGAAGAATCTGACTCAGGGTTTTGCAGAAAGCATGCAATGTCTTTGCTCCTGAAGCATGCGTGAGTGTATGATATGGCATGAAAAAATGGTAGCAGCCATGTACCAGGGAAATACTATTCTGCCATTGCAATGTGTCCGAGAAAAGCCTTAGCTTAGAGCTAGAGTAGGATCTTTCTGCTCTTTTTCATACTCAACACAGAAGTCTAGACTGCAATTTCTGTCTCTCCCTCTTCCTCCCAAATTTTGCTTAGACTTCAACTTGTTCTGCTAAACTGAATTTAAACACTAGTTGTGTTATCTTTACTTTGATTTTAATGTCAGGTATCTCGGGTTAGTCAACACTGCTTAAACGTACATGTTTTTTGGCATGTAGGCATAGCTTTCTGCTATGCCTGAGGGTATCAGCCCTGAGGGTATAACTGTTGTAAAGGATAGTGTCTCCATCTACTCAGAGATGCCTCCAGATGGTTTGATACCTGAGTATGCAAGTTTTTGGATCTTTCCTCAACACAGAATGAATTATATTATTCCAGCATTTCTAAGAAAATTAGGTTCTGAACCTCTGGACTATTGTCTCGAGGATGATTAGTATATTTTCCATTCTTACCATATTTGCTGGATGGTCGAAAGTAACAGTGGGCATCACATAGAGTCCTTGAGAGGAGAAGGATCAGGCAGAAGACCAGCAAGTATTTCTGGAAGATAGACAGGAGGCTTTCTTTAAAATAAGTTTTGAGGGTTTTTTTAGGTAGTCTAGTAGAATAACTCAATGGCATAGAATTAAGGACAAGTCTTACTATTCCCATGAAACTCAGAATAAAAAACACTCCTAGTACATATGTGCACACACACACACACACACACACACACACAATATAAGCTTCTGACTTACCATACTTGCATGGACTGCTCACATTTCATAATGAGGGGTAGTGTGTATTTATATATAGTGAGGAAACAATGGTCAATGCAAAGGGGGGGGGTGATGAAAATGTGAGCACCACTGGTGCCAATGGACACTCTAACCTGTTCCGATCATCGATCAGAAGATGTAGCCTCAAGAGGTTTTGCAAAGGCAGGTTTTGTGCACTGACATACATCAGGATCTTGATCTCCGCTATGCTGGTGTAAATCTGAAGAAACTCCAGTGGATACACTAGTTACTCCACATCAGCACTGGTGTTAGCAGAAGAATTTGACCCCCAGAAAGCTACGCCTTCAGAATTGGCAGGCTGTCAAGAAACAGTGGGGAAAGGGCACATGGTAAGCAAGGTGGCAGTGCACTATTGTTCAGCTGACCTGCCACAAGGAGATCACCCCAAGTATAGAACAGGTCATTCATACAGTGCAGTGGTGTGGAGAGTCCACTGTTCTAAGACTGATTTATTGTAATTTCAATTATTTTATGAGAGATATATTATTTTGTCCAAATTTAGTGACCTGTGGGAACTAGCTGTAGAGTTTTGTATCTCTCCGTTGTTCATCCAAAGCCAAGCCTTGAGCATTAAGCCAGACCTCCATGACCAGAGAGCACCTTTTCAGCAGCAAAAGTGAGATGAGCAGTGCACAATCTCAGTCCAGAAGCAAGCGTAGGAGTCAGGATGCTTATCACTCTTGGCTCCCTTCCTGGCAGCAACAATGGTGATGCCAAAGGTTGAGGGAGGCAAGGAAAGTGAGATCCCAGTTCTCTTTCACCAAATACATGTCCTGCCTCTAACACAGCTGCAATCAGAAGCCTTGCAGTGTTGGCTCTGGTGGCCACGAGAACATTTTTTTTCAGGGCACATCTGGCCACAGGTATCTAAGTCTTTGTGCAATTAGACTGTTACAGTACATAGTACTTGAAGCTGCACCAGATAACCAACCAGAAAAACTAGTACAGATCCTAGCTTTTGTCTGTGGCTGTGTCAGAGGCTGTAGGGATCCACTGCTTTGCTGAATTGGAACATAGGCATAACAAGTTAAAAGAGTTACCAGAGGATTTCCAGCTGAATGAATTGCAGTAATCCAATTAGCATGGGCTCTCCAGCATACCTAGGTTTAGTTAGATACCCTGATTGGTGTGGCTGAACTCACTGAATTTCACTGATTTACAGACACCTAAAGGAAGTGAAGCCGCACTACAAGCAGTTTTTGGATAAAAGTTGCACTGGTGGAGTGAGCCCTATCTTTTGAGGAGTCCAGTAAAGAGAGGGTTGTGGAAGAAGTGGTTACTGTTTTTTGTGACAGAAGATTTAATTAATGTAACTTTTTCTTCTTCTTTCATTCCTTCTTCTCCCTTTTTTTTCAAGCAGGAAGTTTTAGAACTTTTACTACGGTTTGTTTTTAATCTTGCAATGCAGGTATCAGTTTTGTGTTATTCTTACAGTTTTGTAGATTATGCTCTGTGTGTATGGTTCTGCTCTAGGAAACAGTTCTGGTATCTGATGAAATGCCTTGAGGAAAAATCTCTCTCGTGACACTTCTTAGTTGTAGTACACTGCATTTAATGTGTTGGGGCAAGGAAGGGATTTGTTTGTTTCACATGTTAATTCTAATGGAGAGGTATAAGAAAATGAACAAACTTCTGACAAGAATGATTTCCTCAAAGTAACTTCATTGTTAGCTGTTAGAATAAATAAGGTGAAAGCATAATGTAATTCTTAAACTACTAAGCCTTTAAATATGTGATCTGAATTGCTTTTATTTTAATTAACCATCTGATTAAGGTCTACAGGCCAATCTCACTTCTGGCCTGTCCCTGCTGTAACACTCGATACCTCTTGCACTGCTTCTTGTGGAGGTAAGTGCAATAAGAGTATAGTTGTAAGGAAATGTAACAAGCAACTTCTGACTCAGAGGCTAAGGTGCATTCTAAGTTGCCCTCTTAATCAAGTGCATCTTAGAGAGAAATAACTATATTAATGAATTTCTTATAACTTTTGCTACATCTCAGGAAGCTGAATGTGTAAAAACATATGTGTAAATAGGAAATTGAAGTGCAGTATGAGTGAGGCTACTGTTGTCAGAAATGTCTGGTAGTTCTGGCTTCTTAACCAGACATGTCCTAAAGCATGCTGTATACTTTTTTTCCTTTTAAAAAAAATAAGGTAGCTTAAGGCATCTTGGACTGCAGACTTGCAAACAAAGGGACCAAATGCTTTCGAAAGTCTGCAGTCTTGAAGGAGCTGTCTATGGGATTAGTAACAGAGCAGAGTTTGAACCTGCCTCGCTGTCCACGCTCCTGCTGACTTGCTCAGAAGCCTCTTCTTGAGACAAGCAAAGTTTTACAGGTCAAACAAGTAACAAAGGAGTTAAGAGGATTCTCTGCTGCACAAATGCAAGTGACTGTTACCTTCTGGAGCTGCTGTGTTAAGCACATATCCTCTGGGGTGCCCATTTGTTATGGGAAGGTTGAGTTGCCCTAGCCTGGCTTGCCTAGCAGGTGGCTGGGAAGGAGAGCAATGTGAAGTACCCCTGAGACTTGGCGGGACCACTGCAACTCGCTGCCCTCCTTGTGTATCTTATCCCTGGGGATATGTGGTGTTAGGAGGGCTTTCGGCCCAGCTCCAGATGAACTCTGACCTAAGGCAAACAAACTTCTCCGTCTGGCCGTGGGGGTTCGGCAGCAGTTAATGTATGGGTCTCCTCAGCTTGAGGTCTGTGAAGCGATGAGAGGAATGGTCAGCACTGCCTGGCCCTGTTTATCTAGCTGCTGCGTCTGTCGGGGAGGTTGCCAAACTAAATTGGTCGCAAACTAAACTGCTAATATAGCAGCTTGACTAAAGTGGTGATGATGTGCAAAGCCGAGAAGGCAGTTCTGCCCTGGGAAGCCTTTGCTTATTAGAAGTTTTCTGGATATCCTGAGGAGAGCCCTAGAGTAGAAAGGCCTGGGCCCTGCTTTCCTTCCTCAGCTGTTGAACCAGAGGATGCCCAGGCGGCAGCTCTGATGGGTGGAAGGGGACATGAAATCTATAATTCAGCTAAAACTTGCTGACATTGAAAATATCTCTTTACCAGCCTGTGACTTCAGACTTGTTTTACTGGTTGTCTGTCACTCCACTTGCATTCTGTGATTTAAAACTCCATCAATGTACTATTTCTTTGTTAAAGACAATGGTTGAACTTCAGAATTTGATTAAAGCACATAAATAAATATGACCTGGCTCCAAAATGGTTCATATCAGTGTAGTTTAAAGAGAATCTAGGTGGTGAAATTGATGTTTATTCTGGCTCTGATAAAGGATTTCCTCCATTTCTAGCAGAAGTCATGAGAGTGAGTTGAGAGGTAAGCCAAGGCTTAGCTTGTGCAACCTTAGGGAAGTCAAACGGACTTCATGAAATCTGACTCTACCTACTAGACTCTACAAATCTGACTTTGATCTTGTCAGTGAGAATGTAGTTTGCTGCTTATTAGAGGTGCAGCAGCATTGGTATGGCTACCACTTGTAGCAGATGGTACTATCTTCCCTCCAGAGGAGGGATTCAGCATTGACTTCCTGATGCTTTTATGTTATGCAGGTGTATCCTGCTCAAATACTCTCCTTAACTGAAATTAAACAGAGACAATTTTCTATTAACTCTCCCTTTTTTCCCCTATCAGTTCACGTGGCTATAAATCTGTGGACAGAGTAGTGTGTGTAACTTGGTGTTTTATAGCCTAAGAGCCTACTCCCTTTTGTCTAGCTTGGCTTTTTCTCTGAACACTCTCCCCTTCCAGCAATAGTTCTCTAACTGCTCAATAGTTTCTCTAACTGCTGTTCATGCAGAAGTCTTGACTTATTCTTTAAACTGCTCAGCAAGGTGACCTAAAACATGATGTGATGTAACATCTCCCACACTTTTCTTGGTGGGAGTTAGCTATTGCTTTTTCTTCCTTCAGTAGGGAAAAGGAGGAAGATTAGATCTGAATCCGCAAAAGTTTTTAATCCCAAGGTCCCACTTGCTTTCGGGAGGATTTGGCACTTGCACAAATCCTGAGTCTGGCTCTAGAATAGCCCCTTCTCACTTTCGTGGTTATGCTGCACTCCTGGCGTCTCTGCTCTTTCCTCCCCGTCTCCTGGAGAGTGCATTGCAAAGCGCAAGGGAGCGTGCCCAGCGAATTGCAGCCAGGACGAACATTTGCACATGCCTGCAAGCTGGCATGATATGGAAAGACAGTTGATGGCAATGCCTGAATGGAAGTGCCTCTGGGTGACCGCTTAGTGATGGATGAACTGGGCTCTATCTGGCTGGAATAGCAGTGTGTGTTTCCCTGTTGGATAGGACAACCAATACAGGAGGCATAGCCTTGTTTTTATTGGATCTGTTACTATCTTTGGCATAATCTAGTTTGAATGACCATACAAGGGATTAACTCTAGCCTAGGCTTGTCATGGAAAGCTTGCATGTGCCAGTGATATCAAAGTGCAGAGGGAAGAGAAAAACAGACTTAAATAGTTTTTCCTCTCCCTCTGACCTAGTAAGTGAGAGCTCTGCCTTCCTTCAGTAGAGGAGACCTGGAGGTAGCTGGCCACTGCAACCTCTCACCTTCATACGGAGGAGTGTCTTGCCCCATTTCTCAAAAGGGGGTTAGGAGGGACTGTAGCTGCTCGTGGTCCTCTGGAGCTTGCCTGGGCTTTGTTCCTCTCTTCACAAAGATAAGAGTTACTTGAACCTGTGAAGTGCAGCTCCTCTTCCCAGGGGGGTGGGATTACAGCTGTTGTCTATGGCTGCCGGTGCAGGTGGAGCTGTCAGTGAACTCTGTGGGAGCCTGTAATGGCAGCTCTAGGAAGATAACCTTGACCTAGAGAAAGCCTTTAGCCTCTTGGGTAGAACCCTCTCTGTATGTGACAAGCGATGGCTTTGGCACCACTATAAAGTACTCCTAAAATGGCTGGACTTCAAAAAGCCTTCTTTTTCCCTAATGCTACCAGCCCTAATTTCCTCTCCCTCTTTGCTCTTGCACAAGCCTCTTCTACTCTAGCCAAAATCCAAAGGAGAAGAGAGTTACTCCCAGGCTGAGTCTCCTTCCTCTGCACTGGTGCTAGGCAATGAGGCATTCTGATATTTTATTTCGTGACACTGGATCAGGAAGCTGAAACACCTTAATGCTGTCTATTAGTTTGACACCTCCAGACACTTTGGTATCTGTCAGCTTTCTTGTCTTTACCAAATGCTGAAGATCTAGGGAAATTCTTGTCTTTTGTCTGACTAGAAACTGACACAATCCAATGACTGGGTGTGCTCTGGCCAGAGCTGCATCCTCAGCTCAGCTCCTCTCTGAATATCAGGTAGGTGGAGGTGGCCAAAAGCAAATTGCGAATGAAACTCTTTCAGGCAAGAAGCTAAAGTAACATAAGCACTCATTAACCGTGTTAAAAGCTGTCTGCTAGGTGATGTCTAGTTAGGAACAGAAGGTCATGGATTTCATGTTACTTAATACCTCTACTTGTGTACAGCACGAGTCTATCCTGTAGATTTCCCCTCTTGTCCCCTTCAGACCCATTCATCCAATGACAGTTCTGGCTTATCTTCAGCTATTCCTGAAAATACACCTTTCTTGCTAAGGACAGTCTTGCTAGGACTAGGACTGCAGGAAGCCCTGAGGCAGGATGGATATCTACCTGATGATTTGCCATCAGAAGACAATGATCTTCACTGATACCAAAGAGACAATAACTGTGCATGAGTTGAAGGAGCTGGTAGAGGAAATACCGAAGAGGCCACCAGAGGAGCAGTGGCTTTACAAAGATCAACAGCTGCTGGATGATGGTGATAAGACTTTGCTAGACTGTAGTTTAAGCAGCCATAGCTTCCTCACGTACCTGCCATAGTAGGCTTGGCTTTGTTGAAACCTGGGCAATGGCTCCTTTGAGCTATTGTGCATTGACCTCTTCTCAAGCAGCTGAGAGCTACCAGATATCATGAGGTCACAGGACTCTGTTAGCAGCTCTACTGAGCAAGCGTTATGCTAAGACCAACATCTTCTGTCCTGCCTCTTGGAGAAAGGATGTTGGTCTTGCATGTTTATGTATCCTCCTTCTATCCACAGACCTCTAAATGTGCCTACCTGACTGATAAAGCATTGTAATTCAGTTGCGTAATGTCAGTGTGCTGTAGTGCCCATAGAACTGTTTCCTGGGATTCTTCACTCAAAGTTGTACTGAGTGGTTATGTGCTGCTGCGAGCAGTTGTTTCTCTGCCTTGGCTTCCCTAAGTAGTGTTTCTGAGGACTTTGGCTGGAAATCTTGGGGGAGCGGAGTGCGGAAGGAACTTCTAGTTGAGATTGTTGCAAAACATTCAGAAACACTATAACTTTAAGGTCTGAGCAAAGGGCAAACAGAGCTTGTTACCTCAAAGTTAAGGGACGCTGCACTAATACAATACACAACAAGGAACTACTAAAGCTGACGTTAAGTACAGTTACTGGCATGAAGAAAACTCTTCCCCAGTTAATAGGAAATTCCTAATGCTTTGAAAACCCCTTTCTGATGTTTACCTTCTCCATCCCTGGAAGTCAAGAAAAATGCAGTGAAAAATGAAGTGTAACTAGAAATGCAAAGAATAGAACTGCAGTTTTTGAGGAAAGGTTTGTAAGAAAGGACAATATTGTTACCACAGGCTTTAAAGCACGAAGTATGTCCTGTCAATGCTATTACTGTCAAGAAAGCTTATGAAGTTGCTTCCGTTCCATTACAAAATTGATCCCAGCTTTGTATTTTCTATGATCCATCCTCTCTAATTCAGAATTAGTGTTAGATGTTTCCACTTCATCCCTAAGAATGACTTCAAGCTGTCTGGCCTGACTGAACACATACTACTCTGCTCCAAGGGGCAAATTCTTATCTTTGTTAACATAGAACAAAAGCAGAGCAAGAAAAGGTGCTAATGTATTTATTCTCTGAATGAAGCTTTAAAATAGTATTGCTACGAAGTTTTCACTCTCTTAATCAAAAGTAATTCAGGCAAGCCAGACTATGTCCAGCTTCACAAAAAAACACTCTAGAACTACCCAGTCCTGTCCATGATATTTGCCTGGAGGCTTCTCCCTGTGTTTCAGACTACAGACACTTCTAAGATGCTGCTTACGTTTCTAAACCTCACTGGAGCAAATAGAAACAGAAGCTCAAGTCTACCAGCAGAATCAGGATCTAGGTTTTCATGTTCTCCAAAGCTCTTGCTTGTCCAGCTAGTAGTCCTTCCAGCACAAAAGCACTATGGCAGAACCAGGATGCCACCTAGTGACTTTAGTAGCTTTTTTTTTTTTTTTTAAATAAAAGAGTTCTGCAGCTGACAATCATCTCTGCTTATGAATAAGCTGTACTAATATAACTGGAATTGTAGAGCAATCTGCCCTATCAATTGCCTGATACTTCCACCAAAGCTTACTGGAAAACGTAGGTTGTCTCTGAAATTCTTGGCTACAGCTGTAGCTGTGTGAGGAAAAACTGGCAGAGAATATCAGAGTATGACACTGGCATGCCCTTCCCTATGTCTGATGTAATTTTGGTTGTTCTGACTTTCGAACCTTCTTTCTTCTTACTGAAGAGAGATTTAGAAACCATAACCGGAAAAAGGTCGAGAGAGGTGTTGAGGAGAAATATCAACTTGTCAACAGAAATGATATTCTAAAAATACAAGCCTGGGGCCGGTCATGCAGCCTAACCAGACATTGAACTTCTGGGCGTTATACTCACAAAAAAGTCTCTGCCAGGGCTCAGTAATGTTACAGAGTTGATTTCTTATCGAATGCAGTTGTATCAGTAAATCACTTACTGTTCATATTGGAGAACAGTACTTCAAATGTTTTTCAATGAACTTGCTCAATAGTTTGCCTTACAGTCCTAAGCACAGTCAAATATTACAGATAGCAGCAAACAACTGAGTTAGAAAAAGAGGCTGTTAAATAATCCAGTCTGTAACTTCAGCAGTCTAAAGCCTTTTACCTGAGTAAACAACACACCAGCCAGATCCCTGCTTGCTTTCCCTGGTTTTTTTTTTGGTGCATCTTTTTGTCCAGTAGCAGGGCAAGAACAGGAGAGCACCTCAGTAAAATAAGCTCTTGCAGCCTCTGGGATTTTTGGTCCTCAAGCAGGATATGGAGGAACTAAGGAGTAGTGCATTTGGAGACATCAAGCAAGTCCCAAGAAAGGAATTGAAAGTGCCTCAGTGAGCTGCTATGCTCTGATGAGAGTACAGCTAGGCTCATAGCACTGCAGGGCAGCAATGCTGCTCCCAGGTCCTGAGCTGGTATCTGCACTTAGCACAGCAGACTGCGGCGCGTTCTGCTTTCTACTGCTTGGACAATAAACTATTTCACAGTCTCTGAGCCTTTATAGTCTTATAGTTTCTATAGTGCTTTTTTTTTTTTGTCTCTGTAGATTGGCCTCACCTTTGGCAGGCCAGGATGGCAGTAGGAGAAGCCCTTGGAACTGCAGTGGAAAGAAAAATACTTGTGTGTTTTGAAAGGAGTTATCATCTTGTAGTGGCAAAGGACTGCAGTTTATCAGTGCTCCATAACAGAGACCTCCATGAATTATTGTTATGCAAAAATACTGAAGCTCTGGAGAAGCATAAAAAGCGTGGGTCAGTGGCTGAGACTTTTGTGCTGAAGGAAATGAAATGTCAAAACAATTTGAGGGGTGGGGAGGAGTGTTAAAGTAACCAAATCCTGCTGTGCATTTTAGATTGGTCATGTAACTTCTGTGTTCTAGAATTTCCTGCACATAGCTATGATAAAGTGAATTAAGTTGCTCTAAAATAAACTGTAGCTTGGTCTAAGGAAGCATGCATGCAGTAGATTTGAACAGATGCTTTCAGACTTTCGAAAAGTGCCAAGGTAAATTTTTCTGCATACCACTGGAAGAGTTAACTAAGAGCAAATTGAACAAACTAAATTGTCATAAACTGAATTCATCTATGTTTAGAAAAAAAAAAAACATGAAGTAGAATGTGAGCGGCAAATCTCTTGACTTCTCTAGTATGCATAATGTAAATGAGATAAGCACACTCTTTGTTTATGATTGTTTTAGCTGGATTTGATTTTTCAGACTGGGGCAAAAGTCATAACAAACAAAACATGAATGGGTGCTGAACTGTTAGGTCTTGGGTGATAAAACAGTCTTTAATACAAAAACAAATTATGGCACGTATATTCTGGTGCTGGGTCTGGCAACGAATGGGTTTAAAAGACTCTGTATTTGGCATTATACGTCATTATTAGGGCTAGAAGAGTGCTTTACCTGTGATCAAAAGGCTTGCCTTGAAAAAAATTACTGGGGGTGAAGGCACCAGCGTCAGCTATCTGAAACTTCCCCTCTTCTCTAGCAGGGCTGGTGGGAGTACTGCGGGCTGTGGGCCCAAACTGAGGGATGGAAACCAGTGAAAGAGAGCACACAACCTCTTCAGCTCTGCCCAGAGCTTGTTGGCCTCCTCAGGGTTTGTAAAGTCTCTTTTAAACCTTTTATGTGGCAGGATAATTGAGGAACCTGACTCTCATGTAAATATTTCTTCTCTCAGCCATGTGGAGCCAGTATTGCTACAGGAAAGCTTTCAGGGGAGTTTTCTTGTTTGTTTTTTTTGGGTCTTTTTGTTTTGCAAGAAAGGACAAAGGACTACAGCTCTGTGTGTTGAAGTAGTGAAATGCCAAGTTAAAATATCACTTGGCAAAAGTGGGAAGAGCAACGGAAAGTATTGGGTGATCTGTCTCTGCTTTCTCAATTTTGAGAGTTTTGCCATCCTCCCCTAGCTAGTCTCTTTGCTACGGAAAGAGGTCAACTCCCTGCTGTACTTTTGGTATTTGAAACTAGATGCAATAGGTAACATCATCTGCTTCAAGTTTTGAAAAGGAAAGAGAGGAGAGGGGAACAGACTGCTCTGTGAAGACTTTTTGGATTACACAGGAAGTTAATTTTTGGATTACACAGGAAGTTAATTTTTCCTTCTACATAGTAGACATGGTAGATCCACACATCATGCAAGACTGGACAGGTGGTAGAGAAGGGTACTTGAAAGGTTTTAAAATGTGATAAAATAGGCCTGGATCATGTAGGATGAGCACCAGTAAAGCTGGCTTTCGTGGGATTTGGATGCTTAAGTCTATTTAGCCTTAAGGAGGAAAGCAAATCTTTGGTCAGAGCTTATATGAGACTTCATGTTCTCTGCGGACCCACCTTAGAACTGAATCCGGAAATCTTTTTCATACAGAAAGGCATCCATGCTGGTACCTTGCCCGTATCATCTCCTTTGGAGGAAACTCCAGCTAGCAACCCTAGAATACCTAAGCTCTATGGTACAGTATTTCCTCAGAAAGTATTTCTGAGTCCTCTGGCCTCAAACCTGGAGTGCTGGAATCTGTGCTGGTCTCGTCATAGGATGCCTTCAAATATGCTTTCCCTTAGTGCAGACAAGCAAGGTAAATGGGCTTATGATCCCAGTCTGAATGGGGGCAGTGTCTCCCAAGCAACGTCTCTGAATGTGGATAGATTTTTTTTGTGAATGGGAGGTCCTGAGCTTTCCAAGCAGGTGAGGGAGCGGGAAGCAGAAACAGAAGAGGGAAGCTAGTGTCCTTGCTTGCAGTCGCGCTCAGCCAAAATTCTCTTGAGAAACATAAGCCTGTGCTTTATGGTGGGTGAACTGGGTTTGTATATGCAAATGTGTGGGCTCAGTCCCAAAACAGTTCTAACACAACTTCAGCATCTTTGGCAGGTGCTAAAAGGACAGGGGCCTGCCATTCAGCACAGTGAGTTGGACCAGACCATTGGAAAACAAAGTTTTGGTGCTGGAATAAGGAAAGGGGTTGCAAGAAGCAAGGAGGAAACTAGCAGCATGCACTGGATCATAGCAATCTGGGAACTGGAATCTGAGGTAAAGGCAGATTCATAGCGCAGGAATGAACTTAATAAGACGACTGGTGCCTCTGTGGGTAGGGCTGAAATTGCTAAGACATAAATTATGCTTTATGTCTTTATGCTAT